ACACAAGTCAACCAAAGTGCTCCCTGATCAGAAGAGATGGCACCGGTGACAGAATGCATACACAAGGAGACACAAAGTGGGCTTGTCAAAAAGTATTGAGATTTGAGGAGGAAAGGGACATTTGCCTTCAATATGTTAATTCAATTCCATTTTTTCTTGTGTAGCCCTGAATCACAGCGGTTATCTCGGAGGACTTTACAAAACCGTTGAAGTTGCCAACACAGATCAGAGAATCAATTCAAACAAAAACAAGAGAAATGCAATGATAAAAACACATGCATTGCTCCATAAGGGGCAGAGACCTATGTCCACAAATGGATTATCACAACTGTCCGTAGACCCTCCTGCATCAGCAAGGGAAAAAACGCGAATGTGTCAATGTCTTTGTTGTTGTTTTGCCATTATTTATTTCAAGAGACGGATAATTTCAGACTGTTGCTCCTCGCTTTTGGAATGAGCTTTCCCCGTCTCTGTGCAAGTTGGACGCATAGTCTGTATATAGATGGACAACGCTAACCCGCTAGCTCAATGAAGCCCAATAGGAAAGTGCTTCATTTCCATTGAACATTAAACTCCCCTAGCTCAGAAACAGTTTGTTCCACACTCTCAATGTTGGGCTTAAAAAATCCTGGGCTTTTTTATTTTGATATCGTATTCAAATCCAGATATGACCCATATTTATTATAAGTATTGACCAATCAACATGGCTTCATTCACAGGGGAAACTCTAGCTTCCCTTAGCAACCATGTTAGCAACACGTTATGTTGAATCTGCCCCTGCCACAGCGCAAAGCTAACCCTGCGGAACAAACACAGATAACAGGAAATTGGCTGCAGCTAGCTTAAGTTCAAATCAGTTTCTTCTGCATTCGACAAACACTACTGTGACATCATCACTCCGTCGGTCCACTCCTGATACACGCTCTATGGATGGACTTTGTAGCGAAAGGGTCGAATTTAAACACATTTGTCTCGGCAGGCTTTCTCACCTCACCCTTCATATGTGTATTGTGCCTTCTCATGCATGGCGTTCTATTTTTGTGACTACCCTGTCGACACGGGCACATTAAAATAAAATAACCACCTTTTTTAAATTCCGTTTCATTTTATTTCATTTTTTTCCAAGGGTGTTTTGTATCTTAAACTGTAGGTGTGAATGATTGACAGGTGAACGTGAGTATGTATGAAGCGCTTGGGGTAAGGGTGAGAAAGAGATGTGAGGTCGAATGTGTTGTAGGTATGTAAGTATTTGGACATGAGAACACACATTGCTATAGAAATAAATAAACACAATTGTAACTGTACAATAATGTGATAATTCGGATTACATGTTCGTATGAATCGGTGGCGGAAACAAAAATGAAAAATTACTACAAAATGTATCACAAAAAATGATACAAACTGCTCCGTTCAAACATTTATTACCTAATTATTTTTTAAATATTGTATATATTTTTTTAAAAGTGTTGCCCAAAGCGCTCCCTGATCAAAAGACACGACACCAGTGACGAGTCAAGTTTCAGTCTCTGCAACCATCAAAGGGACACATCCTCTATGCATGAATCTTAAATAGGCAAGCTCCCTTCGACTTCAAACCAAATCGTCTTTCACGTTACATCTGCACGGATATCACACAATGCAGGTTTTTGGGTGTTAGGATCATATCTGTGCCTCCACTTTCTCTGTTCACCAGTGGATCTGCTGCAGTGGGGGAAAATGAGCGCTTGTCGGTCTGTCAGTGAACGTAATTATTCGCGCTGTCATCACCGGCAATTGTCTGACACACTCTGCTTCACCTGCTGGAAAATCCCCTGAAATGACCAACGCGTCGAATGCCACGATTTATTGGATTTTGTTAACAGCCCTGCAGTAAAATAATCACAATTGCACGAGATGGAACTAAAAATGTACCCTGTATTTATTTTCACTCCCTCGATTTGGAGAGTGAGCTGAAAAATAACACTAAATATTGCTTGAAATGGGATGACCATTTTGGTAATTATATATGAGATTGATTTTTTTTGTTTTTCTTCCAGTGAAAGGAAAGTATAAAATTAGGTTTAGTTTTGTATAGATGTAATCCATGTATGTCCATATCCCTAGTAGGGATTTTCAGATACATACATTTACCTAAAATACAATTTTGTCCTTTAGTAATATGGATTTTTGCTTTATTTTGTTACCCCATAAAGGTCCAAAAGTCTATATTTTTTATTGTATTGTATTGGTCAGGAATATACTGTATTGTACCAATTTGATAATGAGTTGTTTGTCTCTATTATGTTAATTTCTTCACGGGCAAAACGTAAGGTTAATATAATAAAATAAAAAAACACTTGTGCACGTTGAAGTCTATAGATTTCGTTTTACATAAAATCTCATTAAAGGTGGAGGGTAAAAAAAACAATTCTGTTCAGTATCACGATATAATAATTTGTTTATTCTGGTAATTTCCATGATACTTACTGAGGTTTATGTTACTCGATGTCTGCTTGTAGTGACTCTAGGCTGTTGCATTTTAATAATTTAGGTTGTGTGCTGGTCGTCTATTCAGAGAAAAACAATGTCTTGTCTGTAATAAGCTCCTGTGCCATGTTCAAAGATAACGTTTTATCACAAATTTTTGCTTCAGCTCATGAGCAGATCATAATAAACGTCACATTTTACTTGAGTCTTATTTTCCTCGTTTTTGGAGGGAAATGAATTGCAAAATATTGCAGCATTGAATCGCAAAACTGTATCGCAAAACTGTATCGCAATATGTTAAGAATCGCAAATTTTTTTAATTGTGGCCCAAATATTGCTAAACTATTGAATAGTCAATTTTTTTCCAATTCCCACCCCTTTACGACAGACATTACGGTATGCAACAACTTTATCACTGCTTTGCTTCCACAAACAACATTGTCCATCCATCCTCTACCCTTTAATCCATTTCTGGGTCAGGGGGGTGGCAGTCAGAGATGCCACCCAAGTCTCATAGCACCAGCCCCTCACTGACCCTCTGCAGGTGGTGAGTCCACAGGAGGAAGGCTGCTCTCTGAGTGTGAGTAGTCCCAGATCTGCCGTAATGCAGACATCCACATCCAGGAATCATAAGTGAAGCAAAAATCAATAGTGGAAACTGCCTGCATTTATTCTCCACGCCGTGAAAAGAAACACAATTATATAATGGCTTTTAAAATAATAGGCAGCGTTCTACTCCCAAAAGAAGGGATCACGAAATCACTGCAATCTGCAATACGAGAATGTGCTGAGACGAGACTTTTCGAAAATCTGAAAACATGCCAACGACGTCAGATTTCGGAGACAGGTACAATGACAATGGCATAGAGTAAAAATGTCTACAAGCCAAAGATAAACAGCCTGTCAGATGCGACATGATCTGATTCGCTAAGACAGAAAAAGAACCTTGAGACAGATACCAGGCGAGTGACCAGACAAACGCAGCATGCAGAGCAGGGGAGAAGGCAGACATGGTTCTTTTCAGACTCCACTAGGGGCCACTGTGGATCTACAACCAGCATTCCAAGGCTGAGAGAAGGGGGGGAAAAATATGTGTAAAAAGTGGCCTATTATAATGGCTGAATCATAGTAAAGAAGAGGGAGAATTCTCGTCTTGCCATACACCGGACCCGTATGCACTGAGTGTGTAGCAGTTAGTAACAGGTGAAGTCATTAGCTGCAAGCTGTGGTAAATTATTCATCGTTCATATATTTGGGGGAGTGAAAATAGAAGCAGGAAAAAGCACGTTTATTACTGTGGGGGGAAAAACGAGGATGCTTGTAAACTAGGAAAGGGGTAGTTATAGGCGATGGCAGGGAGCCGGCTCAGCGACAGAGCAGGGAAAGAAAAAGGAAAGGTTTTATTGGCTATATTTATTTCTCTCTACATAATTCAGAGGTGAGAGCACGCTGAATTTCAAGTTGAAACTATTTTATGCGAGAAAAGGGAAGCAGCTGTGCACTTTTCCGACAACACAAAGGCTCGCTCTTAACCCAAACTAGCATTTATTTTAAAAGTGTTGACATTTCTAATAAAACAATAATGCATCTGTTTTATATAGCGCTTTTATGTATATTTTGGACACACAAAGACGCTTCACATGTCATATACACGGTGGTGATTAACTACAGCAGTAACCAAAGCTGCCCTGGGGCACACTGACAGAAGCGAGGCAACCAGAATGTGTCTCTGGCCCCTCTGACCACCATCAATGAATCACAACAGACTCATTTGGGTGAAGTGTTTTGCCTAAGGACACAACAACATTTTGGCACTTTTTAGCCGCAGCCGCCCCACTGTGACACCTGGCGTTCCCAGAGGTCTCCCATCACAGTACTAACCAGGCCCTCAAGATTAAATTGAATGCCGAAAAGACAACTAAAATATAAAAATTACACCAAGATGTGAATTGTGAACTAACACATAATACATATATACATCTACAGAGAGATATGTCATACTTCTGCTGAACCCGGTGCAAGATAAAATGGAATGGAAATGACACTAACTTGCAGAGCGTCTGTACGACCTTGGTCTGTGAATGCACTTTATAAATACGTAAATATATCTCACAAACTAAAGTACCACCTTTTGAATCTTTGTCATTAAGACTAGAGTTGAAAAAAATAACCAGACAAACTCCTCCATTAAAAAAAAGAATTAATCAAGCTTCTACGCCATCCTGGATTAGTGTTTTACAACAAAAATAGCTGCATTTGTTCCACTATCGCAATTAAAACATTCAACAAATCAACAGCTCCAAATCGTACCGCAGCATCCATCAATCCTGGAACAATAAGTCAATACAGCAATCACCATGACGGGGCTAAAGTGAGCCAGGCCCAATAAACTTTCAAAAACTGTCCATACCTTTTCATTTTTGCTTGATCCTGAATAATGGCTGAAGAAGTGAGTGCTTTAATGGATTTGTGTTAATAACTATTTTGTCTACTCAGCGTCCTCCTCAAACTTATAGCCTCCTCCGCGCTTAAGGCTAATCGATGTAAAATGCCGCTATCGATCGGGGGTCAGGGAGACACTCACCGGCTCCCAGTTGCTGCCAGAGCGCAGGCAGAGGGCAGGCGGCGGCCGATTTCACCCCTGCGGAGGCGGTGGTGGAGATAGACGGCAGGAGACCCGGTTGAGCCTGTTGCGGGCCCTTGCCTCTGGTCCCTCCCGCCTTTTGCCCCCCTGGTCCTCCCACGCCAGGCTCCGAGGTGGCCCGGCCCGCTCCTGGTATTCCCGCGCCTCCGGCAACTCCGCCCGCGCCCAGCCCCGCGTTGGTATTCCGGAGCGGCCAGCGGTTCTGGATGTGGGACACGGCCTCCTCTGCCACCATGGCGTCGGCACGGGTGACTCGGAGCGCCGCGTGGACGGTGAATTCCTGAGTCTCGTCGGACCACAGATCGGACACGCGGCACTCGTAGATGCCCTCGTCTTCCTTCTTTATCTTGGACAGGCTGAGGCGGTGCGAGATGGCGTTCCCCTGCACGCGCACCGTCTGCAAAACAACGCCGGTGTAAGTCAAACTGAACGTGTTCTGTCTTTGTTCACTATAACTGGACCAATTTGGGTTCACTTGGGGCAAAAAGTCGTTCTCTGTAGATCTAAAAGTACCAAACCAGTTTGTGCATTTGTGCACAACTTCATGAAGAAACTTTTACAATAGTTTTTATGCATGACTTTACCTATCTTTACTTACAAATTCTTTACACCTTGAGTAGCAAATTCCTAGTTTTTGACTTCCTGTTACTTACAATGACAATATAAATAATTCTGATTCTGATTTTTACTAGTCACTTAACGCTATAGTAACTTTTCATAAGTACATTTTGTTTGTCCCAACAGAACATTATGGGAACAAATTAGATACCAAAAATACTTGCATGTATTTTTTTCGACTTAGAAACTAGTTAGGGATTTATTGCTTGTAGTTTCAAAGTTTTTTTCCCCCAATTGAAGCAGACTTTATCCAGTTAAGTGAGTGCACCCCAAAAATGAATGTATGACATGTTTTAAAGCATGCATTTTTACGACTCCTTGGTCTTTAATATGACAAAACTAATCGTTGAAATGTCTGGTCCTTTGCTGTAAATCAGGAGGTGTTCAGTCCACTCAGAGCAGAGAAGGGGGTGAGCAGGGACAGAGTTTTAAAAAGCTCTCTCTGTACCCATTTTTCAAACACAGACATTTACTTTAAGACTTTTAACTATGTACCACATCATAGCCTTCTCAGTCTTTGGTAAAGGGTTGCGATGACTGCCTTGTTTATCTTAGGAGGAGCAGGTATGTAACATTTCCCATTGTGTAAATAGGGCTCTGTAAATTCATTCAAATATAAAAAGTTGAAAGTAGGACAGAAGTGGAGCCTGAGTGGAGACAAGGGTTCATGATAAACACATTGGGGCAAGTGTTGTTCATGTTTCTGCTTTAAGACACCGTGACATCTTTGAGCAGAACTTTCTCCAATTATTTATTACAGCAAGGAAGCAATAGAATGTGAATGCCTCCTATAAATAGCTTGTATCTAACTGCTTCTTCAGACCGGAAAAGGCAGCCTCACAATCTGAAGTTGAAGTTTGTTCAAAGTCACAGAGATCTGCAGATTGATGCAGTCCCACACATTGTTTTGGAAAATCTGGTGCGCATTGTATACAACAATAACTTAGAGTGAGAAATGGTTAGTACAATACACTGCAGTAGAAAAGGCTGACAAGGCAAACAATGGAATGATGTTTAATTGTTAGTCAAACGCACATTTGAATTCTTTTGGCCTCCAGTTTGCATATCATTCAATAAATCACTAGTTTCTGAAATGTAACAAGATTAGTGTGGGTCATGATGCAACAGGAAGTTAAAGCTGAGGCCATTTGTCTCAGGGCTATTTAATTTGCAAGTCATGACCTTCTGAAGCAAACCTTTGAGCCATGTTGAGCTACATATGTTCCAAAAACTCTGTGGACCGCAGAGTGGGGGGTGTAGCTCGTGCTGTAGATGTATTTAATAGAAAGGCAGCTGACCCTGGTTACAGCAGAACACAATTTACTCTCAGTGGTTTTGAGCTGTGTGTTTCTCCAAGCTCAGAGTCTACTGCAGGGAATAGTTTAGATCAACATGTATCTCATTTACAAAATGTTGGTTTTCTCTTTGGAACAACTATAGCGGGCGGAGAAGAGGGGAAACATGCTAAGATCAAACACAGACACAATCTGCTTTCTAACAGAGTTCCCTTGAATATTAAATAGTGCAGTGGAAAAAACAACAAATGAGAGACATTAGGATGAGCCAGTCCAGCATGCTGTGTGAACCCAACAAGGTCAAGATCATGTTTTATGACTGAAGTTAGAGGTTTTGGCATCAGAACGCATGGTCTGCTGACACAGTATTAGCTGCCCAGCAGGCCGGCACATTAGTTCACACAGCCTCCATTTCCCCTAAAAAGGGCATCCTTTATTGGCTTAAAACGTATTATAATATCAGAACCAAACCTGTCAAAACATATTTAACAAAGGCACAGCAGTAAAGGTCTAAGTGGCACAAGAGAAATGTGCCTGAAGAACTGGAGTTAAACTTCAATGTCAGAATGAAATCGCATCACTATTTCCCAGCAATGAGGAAAACAAATAGTCTAGGCAAATCCTGGGCTACCTAGAGAGCAAGCTGCACAGAATGCTCTGCGATGATGAAAGCAGCTCTGTCTCCGGCAGAGATAACATCCCACCTTCTGATAGTGTGCAAGCATCAGACAGATATTCCGTATGAACAGGTTTTGTTTTAAACTCTAGGAATCTACTACGCTTGGTGTAAAGCAAAGATGTGAGCAAACAGAAAAGGGAGCACTTACACTTATTTTCGTGGCCTCTCTTGGAACAATCTGCAAAAGGAAAACAGTTTGAAATGACACAGATGCAACAAGATATGAGTCGTTATATAACCCCCGCCAATGAGACACACGCTCTTTTTCTCCCCCCTCTCCCTCAATCAGTCAGAGAGGCAGACGGCAGCAGAGAGCGATGGTAGCATGCAACCTCTCAAAGGCACCATTGATAGCACCCCCTACCCACCGGCCCTCTCCCCCGCTGCATGTTTTAATGTGCTTAAACCCGCAGAGGAAACGCCGCAGATGTGATTGTCCCGGACTCCTGCAATGACTGGAAAGGGGAAAAAAAGAAGAAGAAGAAGAGGACGACTCGGGGCTGATTTGTCATGCTGAAGGGAAAACTAATTCCCAGCGCGTCCTGCCACAATATCCTATCATGGCGGTGTTAGTCAGAGGGAGCTGAGAGGAATGTAATGGTGTTGATAACCAGACCAACAAGTGCCCTGTCTCTCTCTCTCTCTCTCTCTCTCTCTTTTTTGTGTGAGCCCACACTGCTAAACCTCCCACCCCACCCCACCCCACGCACCTCTTCGCCCCCACACGCGCTCTCTGCCACGTACGGCTGATTGTAATGACAAACAAAACGGCACACAAGGTCAGATACATATCGGCTGGGAGCAGAGACGGCCGGATAAACGTCTTCTTTCAGGAATCAATGGTGGGGGTATGTCTGGGATGCATGTTCGTGATGATTACTTGTAATGGCGAGGAAACGGGTCCATAACACGCGCAAAACAGGTCCATACTAGAGCTGAATTAGCATATACATCGACTCTAAGAATTCACTATTAATCAAACTGGCAAATTTACTCTGGACACACATTTTCAGCTGTTTTGCTCCGTAGCTTCTAATTTATTTGGTTTTGGCACCAAAATCCTAGTCATTTGAGTAAGATAATTAGTTGCCAAGTCCAATTTTGGTCGACTATGAAACCAAGAACTAAACGAGGGGTGTCAAAACGTTTTAGTGAGAGGGCCACTTTAGTTCACCAGACATTTTCATGGGCCGACAGCAAGGATTCAAAAACTGTTTTGACTGGATTTGGGCTATTCTGGACATTACATTTCTCCCATTGAGAGATGAATAAAGTTTATCTTATCTTATGTCTATATTGACACATGGAATTTGGTGAAACAATTCCAAGACACATTTCTGCCTATGCTAATAAAGTAAACTGGATTGTAGCGGCTCTGATCTTTATTGGTGGAGCTGAAGTCGGCTCGATGACAATGAACTTGTGTTTACGGTTTGTTGGCCGCAGAGGGCCACATAAAATCATGCAGAGGGCCGCATCTGGCCCACGGCCTTAGTTTGGACATGCCTCGACTAAACTATAAAAGCTGAGAGCCCTAGTTTGCCCAAGAACTTTTATCACTCAGTAGCACGGTGACACTTTTAAAATGCTTTTTAACTGTTTTATTGTTTTAATGCATACATGTTTTAATGGATTTCATGTAATTTTATTGTGAAGCACTTTGGGTGCCTTGAGTGTTGTAAAAGGCTCTGTAAAATTAACCAAGATGTATGTAAAGTATGTGAACTCCTGTGCCAAGAAACATTTTTTCCTATGTTTGATCTAAAATCTGAGGTTTTAGCCATTTTTTTGTTGCGTCTGAGGAGGTCTTTTTTGCAGATTTTAGCTCATTATTCATTGGGTCCACGTCACATGCAGCCGCCGCACGTTCATTAAAAGTGCGTGTTTGGGTTTGCGTACGTGGCGGTTTCGCTTTTGTTTCTTCTCTCGCGTTGCTAGTAATTGGCGGTGCTGACACCAATTAGCGTGTGCGAGAGGAGAGCGGAAAGTTACTGATTTGTGTCCTATACGCAGACAATATTGCAAGTTCAAAGATATGAACTGTGGAAGAAAATGTACTCAAGATCACGTTTAAGGGCCCGAAATTCAAAAACTGCATCATAAGTGTGGATTAAATATTTAACTTTTAACTTCTCTTCTTTCTGTTCCCATTATGTGCTTGCGTCTTTTTGGCAAGGCACTTTTCCTACAGTGAGGAATTTAAAAAATGTAAGGATTTATCACAACTTTTTCAATAATCACCAACTATTTGAGTGAGTTGCCTTGTGTATGAATTGTGCTATACAAGTAAACTTGCCTTGCCTATTTTGGTAATAGTTAACTCCGTGGCACCCTCTGTTAAAAAAAAGGAAACTAAAGTTCAAAGGTTATGACAAAAGAAGTATGACTTTTTGTTTAATGTATTAACTGTATGAACCCAAGAACCCAAAAAGCTACTATGCTACATTGCTAAATTTGGTTTGCGAACGCTGCTTTCCAATAGCAATACCGATAATTTCTTTAACAATTATTTTTATCTTGGGGTTCTACAAAGTTACACACTAAATATCCAGGCTTGATTTTAAGCTGGATATTTAGTGTGATTTTAATGCAAACAGCCTGAAAACAGTTTAGTCTGGAGACAAAAACACTGTGTTCTCCGGTGGCTACACATCAGCTCATCATCACATGTTTGTATTTATTAATGTATTTGTTTTTTTGACAGGGATAGTGCACATACAATCTATCGTTCAGGCCGGACAAAGCTACAAGCTAAATTTTATCCCTGTAGTCTCTGGACAGAGGTAGAGTGACAGCAGGTTTACAGTGTGCAAAAAATGAATCAATAAAATAGCCTAAAGTTAGCATTTAAAATAGAGGTAAAACACAACACGAGACAAAATAAATACAATATATACAACACACAATTGTTTACAACTGCAGACTTCATTATCTTTGAGCCAGTTTAAACTTATTCTATAAAACTAATTGGTTTAAGCAACAAACTAATTGATAGATTCATAGATCATTTTTAACTGCTCTAAAATCAGGACTAAAATCCAAGTATTGTAAGAAGAAAGCCCTCGTTTAAAACTTGTATTGTTCTGTTGCCTGTGACTAACTCCAGGACTTTCCATTCTCTCCGTCCCTTCCAGCACCTCAAGGGACGGAGTGAGTCTATTTAAAAACATTGAATTTGGTCAAATGTGTGAAACATTCTGTGTCTCACATTTGATGACCTGCCACTGGTGACTCTTGATAAAATCGCTTCATGACTCACCAAAAATAAAAGGCTTTGTTTGTGCCTGAAAGACCTGAGGGTCATTTTGTATTATTTATAACAATTTAGAGGTTTCACTGAATATGGACTTTAGAGATGGCATAGCACTCTACTGTCTGCTATAGAGTGAGATTATATGATAAAAGTGGGTTATTATTTTAAATTAAGTACATTAAAAGTGTTAATATTGAGCTTAAACTTATGTAAATGTAACAAGTTCAGACACTTCCGTATTAAGTCCTGCTGTGTATCGCTCTTCCTCTTTACGTGAGCAGAAATATGGCCTTAAGTGAGACCCAATCTATGTTTCGCTTCAAGCAAAACTTCCGGTGCAATGCTGCCAAATCATCCGCATATCACAAGTTCAGCAAATAACGGTGGGCCTGTTGGTTAGGATTCAGGGACAATATTGGCGTTTTGGTTTAAAAGCTTGTAAACGACTCAAACACACATGAAAAGTTCTAAAAACAACTGTATATGTGTAAATGGTGACTGAAAACTGGTCCTAGACTGGTTTAGAGCCATCTCAGCTCAGAGCAAGTGCTAGTTACCATAGCAACACACTGTTTACCTGCATTGGTTAGTATTTAGCTTTGTTGCATTTCAGGTATATTTGCCAGATGCTACAACATACATGTATTAAAGATAAAAACTCCATGAATTACTTTATTTTAATTATAGTAGTGAAAAACAAATTGTGTTTATTTTCAGAATTCAGAATTTGAATGGGAGCTGTCAAAATGACTGCTCAGGATGTTGTAGTAGTTTCAGAATTTGAGGCCTCGTGTTAACAAAGTGGATTTTGCATGTTATTTTCTCTTTTAAAAAGTAAATGCGTTCAATAAATCTCCGTACCTTTAGTATAAAATGAGATAATGAGATTTGAATGTAATGATAGAGGATCGTATCTGCTGCTTTAGAATAAGTACACTTTAGATCAGTGTACTCGAGTACTTGAGATGGGGAGCAGCACAACAGGTCCATAATGATACATCTCCCATCATGCACACGTCGTTTCTCCGTGTTAAAATGCACATGTGATTCTTCGTGTCTTATTGATGTATAGCATGCTCCTCTTATCGTTTTCATCTTGGTGTGTTTTTGCATAATGTGTTGTCTTCTATACATAAGTCATAAGCTATGCATGTTATAAATGTATAACTATGGCTTTGTACACTGAAGGTTGTCTGAAAGTGGGAGAAAAAAGTCCATCCTTTCACTTACTTCAAATCTCATTGTAAAACCGAAACCGTGTTGTTTCCTTCCCCTGATCCAACAAAACTAATCACATGCAAAAAAAAATACAAAATAAAACGACTAAAATGTCCAGTGTTCATCTATTTCTCATGGAATGTAGATCATTACCATACACAATTATCTAAAGGTCAGTGTTGTTTGAGGGAGCCAGCCTGGAGCCCTCATCCATGTTTCCATATGCATACATTTGCTCTGGTGCACGGCGTTGAGGGAGCCTCCCGGTGGTTACCTTGGCTCTGCTGGCCGGAGAGCTGATCTGCAGTTCGTCTGGCAGCTCCTCGGACTGCTCTTCCTTCAGGTACCACCACTGGATCTCCAGAGCCATCGGTGCCGCGCTGACAGCCTTGAAGGCGCAGGGCATCTCTGCGTCCTCGCCCTCCCCCACGCTCACATCTTTAGGGACTTCGGTAAATGCGGCTTCAGTGCATATGTATGAGAGGTAGAAGGAGAGAGAGATGAAGGGAGGAAGACATAGCAGCAGCAGCAGCAGCAGCAGGAAGAAGAGCCAATGTGAAACTGTTGCTTTGAATCAGTCTGCAGTTTTACAGAAAATTCCCCCATTTTTTTCTAAGCATTGCCCAGTTTGAGTGATTTACACAGATATGGGTAAAGTCATGGTTTTATTACAACACATGTGACCTGTCTCCAGCTTAGAGCTTAATTCAGCAATCAATGTATCACATTTTTATGACCTTCAGGGATTAAACAAAACCAAAAAAACAACGCCATGCATATAAAAGTAGCTCATTTTTGCCTATAATCAAAGAAATGGAGGTGATCTTTATCAGTACTTACCATGTGCACAGATGAGAAATGGTGAGTGGAGGATGAAGTAGAGGAGGCTGTAGAGTCCGGTTTTACCCATGACACAATATGGCTCGTCAGGCACGCACGTCGGGCATCAGACGGTCATTGGACCTAAATGTGGGGCAAATATCTCCAAACGTGGCAAAAGACAAACCGAATCCACAAGTAAAGCCATCAGCCGGGCAACATGTACAATCCGTGTAGCGGTGCGAGCATGTTTCAGACCACAAAAAAACACAAAAAACAAAAACAGGGGGGTGGGAAAAAGAGAAAGACAAGTCAAAGAAGTGATTTTAATCCAAGTCAAAGTCGTCAGCCTTTTATTTCCCCGCTGTTTTGGAGGCAAACTTCGTCGTTAGACCGTTTCCCGAGAGAAGCAGGGGAGCAGTGCAAGGCTCCGCTCCAAAAACCCATCACATAAGCGTTTCCTCTGCGGGTGCGGGAGAAAAGCACCGATCGCCCCACACGCGCACACGCACACGGAGACGCGGAGACGCAGACCGACACGGACCTGACCGAGCAACTTCTAGTCCGCGACTGGCCGTTCTCTCTGCGAAGGGGAGCGAATGAAGAGAAAGAAAGAAGAGGGGGAAAAGAAGAAGAAGAAAAATAAAACTATCGGAGATGATTTTTGTGGAGCGCGTGTTTGAGGCGCTGTGGTCGTTGCGTTTATTCCGTATAGTCTCTTCTTCTTCCACGCGTCTGGCTGCTGTCACCAACAAGCAGCCTTCCTCCCGTTTGATGTGCGTCGGGAGCGCAGAGAGAGGAGAGAGGGGAGAGAGGGGAGAGAGGAGAGAGGCCCCCACCTTTGTGTTGTGTGTGTGTGTGTGTGTGTGTGTGTGTGTGTGTGTGTGTGCGTGTGTGTGTGTGTGTGTGGTTATGCAGTGAGGATTAAATGGATGGACACACGAGCCCAGTTATAATTGAAAACGTATAGATTTTAATTAAGAAGAGGCATTACAGGCAGAAGTCGATGTTATCGTTTCATGTTTAATTTATTATTATTATTATTATTATTATTTTAGGCTTACCGTTTTACCGATTTTATCAACATAAAAACAGTAAATACTGTATATATACAGCTTTAAAGTTTATGCACGCAGCCAATATTTGAATTGTTATTTTTTTTAGGCTTACTGTTTTACCGATTGTATCAATATAAAAACAGTAAACATATACAGCTTGAAAGTTTATACACCTCGCCTAAAATTGAATTGTTTATGCCATATTTTTTTGGGAGATTATGCAAAAATACAAAACACTTTCTCGTCTCGTTTCAGGTTGTGTGAAGTAGAGTAAATGTGTTACTTTTTTTTCAAATGACAACGTAAGATAAGATAGACTTTATTGATCTCACAGCTGGAAACGTTTACAAATCTGTGGGGTTTTGAAGAAGTGTGCAGTTTGGTGCGAGGTGGCCCAGGAATTTACAGAAACTGGAGGCTTTCTGCCAAGAGAGATGAGCAGGATAAATAATCTCATCCACAACCACCACAAACTCCAAGCTGTGGTGAATGTTAAAGGGGAGATCCATGGGGGATGGACACATCTACTGTAATCAGGGTCATTTTGATCATTTTCATTTAAATGAGAAAACGTGTATTTGACAGTAATTGGTTTCGAACAACAATAAGTCAAGTGTTATTTTTTGAGTAATCATTCACACAATAAAAAATGATGAAATATAGGAATCAAGTATTTTTGAATCTTAATCTACATATCCGTCTTAAAACACGATTTGCGAATGGGACAAAGCCATTAAGTCTTATTTCATGATCTCTTGCATTTTTTCCCTCATTCCAAGGGAGACATTTCTTGAATCTTTTTTTTTACCCCTTAAGCTCGCCGACTTTGCCGCACAGCAACGCTTTGAGTGATTTGGTGTAAAACATTTGTATTTTTTAAAGAAAAAAAATGCATTTTTATGACCATTTTACTTTTTAGGGCCAAACTGTGCCAAACTGTGCCAAATGCATTTCTGCCTGGAGTTTTCACTTCAAAACCTGCATAAATTGTTATTTTTTTGGTATCCAAACATACACTTTGCTCGTAGGTGTCAGTAAAAGGTTAAAGTTGCATTTGATTATCTTTATTTGCTTGTAAATTATTGTAGACATAAAAATGTTCACATCCACACAATCCCCAAAGACTAACTTACAATTTGAGTACAATTTCTAGCATTTTCAATAATGTTCAGGCTGTGAAAAGGCCTGTATAAGACTCAAACGGGAATTGGCCTGAGAGTGTAAGGGGTTAAGATCATTTTACTTATTCAAATCTTATTTAAAGGCAGTCAGAATGTGCTCAAATTAAGATAAAGTTTGCCAAATGTTTGCCGTTTTTCATGTTTTTGTTTTGTTATTTCTTTTTACAAATGTACACTTTCTCATACCGTAATTGATCAAAGAAGTTCTTGGTCGACTAAATACATGCACAAACGATTGATCAGTCGACTTTAAAGGGACCACGGCCTAAAGATCACAAAACAACACAAAGTCCAGATGATCAGATGCATATCCATCTGATCATATATATGATCATATTGCTGTTAATAAAGAATTGATGTAATTGTAATGAATGCAGGGATTGATTCACTTTCAGAGTAAATACCAATATCTTCAGCTAATTTTCTCTGAGATTTCTGATTGCATGTGTAATGTGAGATTCAAGCCATCCATGCAATTCATCTGCTTAAAACACATGCAGACAAAAAGGCACTCACTGTTAAAGTTAAAAGGCACTAAATTACACCTTACACATTAGGAAATAGTTTGTATTGTACATATGTGATGTAATTCCCTTATCCAGGTTAAAACAGTTCTGTTTAACTGTGCATACAACTGTGGGGATTGTATATTTTTATCTAACTTTTTAATGTACTGTGGTTATTTATTATTTTAAATGCCTTGTGTGATTGTCTATATCCTGTTTTGTTCAGCACTTTGAGTTGCCTTGTCTTGCCTTCTAAAGGGAGGAGCAGCAAGGTTCCTTCTTTTAATGAAAAGGATTATTTACAGACAGGAAAACAGTGGCAGCGACAGTGGCTCAGTTGGTAAAGCAATGGCCTTTGAGCCTGAAGGTTGAGGGTTTGAGTCCACCATGACACTTTCTCCACCGACTCCCAGTGATGGGCAAGACACTTAACCCCACTTTGTCTGCTGTTGTTGTGTGCTTGGGCAAGACACTTAACCCCACTTTGTCTGCTGTCGTTGTGTGCTTGGGCAAGACACTTAACCCCACTTTGTCTGCTGTCGTTGTGTGCTTGGGCAAGACACTTAACCCCACTTTGTCTGCTGTTGTTGTGTGCTTGAGCAAGACACTTAACCCCACTTTGTCTGCTGTCCTTGTGTGCTTGGGCAAGACACTTAACCCAACTTTGTCTGCTGTCGTTGTGTGCTTGGGCAAGACACTTAACCCAACTTTTCCTGAATCTCCCATTGAAAGATCAAGGCTGTGCTGGTACTGAACAGCCTTCCTCCTGTGGACTCAGCACCTGCTGGAGGATCAGTGAGGGGCTGCTGCCACCACCTGACCCAGAAATGGATTAAGGGGAAGAAAATGGACGGAGGAAAACAATGATATAGGCTCAAACTGCCCTTCTGGAGAGGCTATCTACAACTGTGGAAAGCAAGCCCTGTTTCTTTTATTTTCTTGTTTTCCGAAAGACATGGTGAATCTATTTATCTCTAAAGCTGTGTTCACATCCAAGGCAACTCAAAGCACTTCACAAAAAAGGAAAAGAAACCAGTACAAAAATATTTACAGAAGGCTACGAATCCTTCAACTGTAGCCACAGCTAAACTGAACTGTTTTTAACCAGGAGGCTAGACTGCTGCTTACAGTCCCAGCAGGAGGCCAGTCCCTATGCTCCTCAGAGTCCCAGCAGGAGGCCAGTCCCTGGGATCCACACAGTCCCAGCAGGAGGCCAGTCCCTATGCTCCGCAGAGTCCCAGCAGGAGGCCAGTCCCTGGGCTCCACACAGTCCCAACAGGAGGCCAGTCCCTGTGCTTACTTGTGCCCGTGGAGATGTTGCACCAGGTCTAACAGTAACATAAACTATCCCATGAACTGAACTTAACCAGAGCATGTGAGACGTTCTGATTCACTTCTTACATTTATGTAAGTAAACTACAAAAGAAGGTTTAAATTATGTATCTCAAAATGTAGGATAATTTTTCCTATTCCTCGGGAGACAACGTGCCCACAAAGCCTTTGATCTTCCCCTGTAGCTGTTGAGCTTTCTTGTTACTCTCTTTTTAGAAAAATCAAAAGTGCATTTTCTAACTGTTCTGCATAATGTTCTCTGCGCTGGCATCAAATTCGATACAAAAATACACAAATATTGGATGGTTGAATACTACTGCCTGAGGTCCAGTAAACTTAAATTGGCTAGAAGTGATATCAGCAACTTCAATTGGCTTTTATTCCTAAGATAATGTATATTGTATATGACCAAGGGACACTGACCTATCATGTAAAGGTCTTAGAATACATTATGACCAATCAGGAGGCTGTGGGCGGGTCTAACCAGTGCTTCAAAAAGAGTCATTTTCTGTTTACAAATTCACTTATACTTTACTTATACTTTGGTCACTTTAGTAACCAAAAAAAGGCCAGTTGGTATTTATGAGTCTGAGAAGATCTTGGTCATTGCACCAACCCAAAGCAAATAGTCATTCTAACAGCTATATTGGTCAATAATGGTTTGACCAATTTCATACAGTTTGTCCAACAACCAACAGACAAATATACGTCCATCCATTATCTACCCTTTCATTTCTGGGTCAGGCGGGTGTTAGTCAGCCCCTCACTGATCCTCCTGCAGATGGTGAGACTTCAGGAGGATGGCTGCTCATGAGTTTTTCAGCGGGGGATTCAGGTAAAGTGGGGTTTCTGCCCAAGGACACAGCAAGCAGAAATCATTGGGAGTAGGTGGAAAAAGTCTCATAGGGTAATCGAAGCCACGACCAACGGAGCCACTGTTGCCCCACAGACAAATATAATATACTGTATAACCTATTGTTCTTTGGTGTGTAGAGCTTACACATGTATTATGTT